CCAGATTTGTTGTTGAGCAAAGGTGCAATACAATCATTACCAGCTAGTGTTTAGTTGTAACTTTGTTTTTCCAAGAGCAGTATACAGAATAAGTGATAAACCGTCAAGAGTTAAAAGTCCTCCTTCCTATCGTTACTTGTTCAGATGAAGATCACAGAAGAGGATCTATGGATTAGGACATATGCCAGACTGTATCAGAAACTTTGTTCTTCTACAGGAGACATTCCAATTGGAGTCTATAGGACAGAATCCCAAAAGCTTACAACATCCGAGGTATGTCAGTTTACTGTACTTTTCTTTGGATTTGATTACAGAGTATGCAACATTCTTTGGTCCTCATAAGAATGGGAAGCACTTATTTAAAAAATACTGTGAATGTACTATCTGCAAATGCACAGAATTCTGATAACCCACTGAAGGTGTCCTGCTGCTGACATGTATATGGCCACATGAATTCAGGGCTCACATTCAGCCCCAGACTTCATGAATACCCAGAGCCAGTCTACAGACTACATACTGACTTTCATTCCTGTGCTCACCTACAGAGAACTGACTGATCAGAAACAAGGGGCAGCTCAGGCACGGATAGGACAGGCTAGGATAATTCAAGTCTGAACTTGCATGCAGTGACTAACGGCAGTATCCATAACAAACTGTATGACCAGATCCTGTATCAGATTCAACAAGAATATCAACACTTCTCTCAAAACAGCTGGCATTTCAGTGTTCACGTGAATTCCTAGTTAGAAATGAGCAACAAGAAAATTAATGTTATTAAATATATTGTGGGATGTCTCTAAAATTAGCTGCCGAACAGTGGTAATTTTTTGTATATATGTATTTAAGTGTCTGCCATCTAAATGTATATAATGCCAAAACCACTTTTTACTATTTAGCATACTTGGTTTGTGCAGTTTTTATTTCTGTCATGTATAAACCATTTGTTTACATGATGATTAGTACTGCCATCTCATGAAACCATTCTTAAACACAGCTTTAAAATGCAACTATGAACAATGACTTTATTCTTTCTTCTGAAATACTCAAGATACAGTTTACTGGTTTCAATTGCATTTTCTCTTCTGTATTTCAGAAAAACATTATAAAACATTAAGCCGTGTAATGCTCAACTGCAAGATTTATCTTGAAGGAAGTACAGTTAAAATTCAGTTAAAATTAATTTTTAAATAAAAGCTACAAAAAGCTATGCAAGATTCCACCAAACTCACTAGTGTCTTTCTCTGTGGATCACCAATACCTCTACAAGTCACTCTGACAGCTTAGCCAGTGGGCTCTGCCACTGCAACAATGTCAGCTGATGGTTTTTTAAAATATAGCAGCATTAACATCATCCATCAAAATCATTCCTTGGAGAAGAATATAGGCAACACACTGCTAGTACACAAAATAGTCTGTCATAGCTTTCAACAAAGGAGAGGATGTGCCAGATTTTAAAAATTCATTAAATAAGGATAAGTAAGGTAAAATTCGTGGCAATGCTTTATTCTTACATTTACAGCTGGTTATTTAACTTGAGGTCCAAAAAAAGAGAATCAAGAAAACTTGAACTATAAGCATATAACATATTGTGAAGAGCACATTTTGGTGGCCTGCTTTTCTCTTTTCTGCTTTTTCACGTTTCAAACATACAGACTTACTGGCAGTTAGCAGCTGTACTGGGGAGGGGTAACTATAAGAGCAACACTCATCAAAACACGCTTCTGTTTTGTGGCAGGGGGGTGGGAGGTAAGCACACACACTCAGATCTCCTGAGGCAAGTTTAACTAAGAAATTAAAGATATTTCAAATCTTTTCCTGAAAATAAGGTTTGGGATCATCAGTCATTTAATGCTAAATTCACAATTTTACCATAACGTTGGAACCTCTGGAGCCTGCACACATGCAGCTGTTCAGGTGCTTGATTACTTGATCTGACCAGGCCCAGATTTAGTTTAAGATAGTTATTATCTTTTACAAAGTAGTAATTTCTTAGAACATTCAGACACTGAAACCAGCCTAGAAGCCACTGTCCAACAGATAGAAGAGTTCTACTACTATTTCCTATCAGCTTTCACAGGTATCTCATGAAGAATTTGTGTTAAATAAGGTAAAGGAAGAAGGGGAAGGGGGACAGGGAAATCTCCTAGTTATTAAATTGCTTAAAGTTTTTAAATTGTCAGGTACTGGCCTAGTGTAGATGAATAGCAATGTCTTTATTAAGTAAAAGCATTTGTTACTCTTAAGAGGAAGAAAGTCTTTTTTTACTTTACTAAGTAAAAGCTCTGAATGCAGACCCCCAGTGGTATTGCCACACTTAAATACTCCAGCAGTTTCTTGTTCAGCACATGAACATTTGTGAAACCCTTCCCCCTTTAGAGAGGGGCAGGGAAAAATCTTCCTTACCTTTGCTTTTTCCCAGAATGCAAAAAGAGCAACATTTGCTGCTGTGCTTTTTATGGGTACATACCTGCAAATGCAGAGACGATGAAAGCTGTAACCTTTCTAGAAAATGTTTCTTTTGAAGTTAAAGAATTTTTTGACTAGTTTCTCTAAAAAATATTAGCATGGGCTAGCATTTAGCTTTTCAATATGTTAAGCCAGAAACAACTTTAAAACATTGTTGGATTAGGTCTTTAAAATGGAGGTTAGAGAAATATAAATTGCTATATTTCTCAGCAATTATGAATTTACAGTCATAATCTGAAGGTTTCTAACTCAGAGAACCTCCAATACATGTATCAATTTCAGTTTAAAGAGACATATAAAACTTAGTTTGTATTGCCAGCACCTGGAAGTTGTCAGTTAATGGTTAACTTGGGTCACAAGAACAAGACTTGCCAGTACTAATATTTCTATATGTACGACTTCTGCTTTGACGCTCCCTTTTTATGCTATGCACATGAGAAGCCCTCACTTCACTCTGACAGATTACTACCTGCATAGCTAGTTTACTGTGGTTCCTGTTAAACAGTCCGTGTTTGTTTCTTTAGATTCACTTCTGTTTAAATTGTCTTCTGTTTTCTTTCCCCCACTTTCTTTGTCAGTCACGAGAAATGGCTTCACAAGTAAGTATTTTCTTATTGTCTGCCTGTTCCTGGGTGTTGTGGTTTAAGCCCAGTAGGCAGTAAGCACCACAGAGCTGCTTACTCATTCCCCCCACAGTGGGTTGAGGGAGAGAACAGAACTTTAAAAGTGAGACATCTTGGTGGTTGAGATAAAGATAATTGAACCTGTAGAGCAAAAGTTGCATATGCAAGCAAAGCAAAATAAGGAATTTACTCCCATCAGCAGGCAGGTGTTCAGCCAACTCCAGGAAAGCAGGGCTCCATCACACATACTTGGGAAAACAAACACCATAATTCCACCAAGTCCCTCCATTCCTTCATCTTCCCTCAGCTTTTACTGCTGAACACAGTGCCATACGGTATGGAATATCCCTTTGGGACAGTTGGGTTCAGCTGTCCTAGCTGTGTCTACTTCCCAACTGCTTGTGCACCCCCAGCCCGTTCAACTGGCAGGGCACTGTGAAAAGCAGAAAAGGCCTCGGCACTGTGTAAACACTGCTCAGCAACAACTGAAACACCCCTATTATCAACATGGTGTTCATCACAAACCCAAAACATAGCCCCATACAAGCAGGAGAGCATTCCTAGAACCCTAGATGCAATCAAGGGCTATTGGTATATGGAACAGGGAAGTTATTTTCACATATAACTTGCAGCTAAATAAAAATAAGACATTGCTTCAGAACAGATTAGATGAATATGCACATTAAAAGTGCTTCATATTTTACACATGTGGCTCCTAGGAAGCAGCAAGGCAAAGGAACAAAGATCCAAGAAACTAAATGATGTTTGGCATTGTAGTGCTGTTACTACCATACTCACAGTCGCCCTGACCATCTCGAATATGAACAGTTCATGACTACATTGCCATTACTGCCATGTGTTGGCCAATCTGATTTACCGTTTAAATAAGAATGTGAAGCATCCTATTAGAGCACCTTGCCTAAGGTGGAAAAACGCCCATGGGCCATGGATGTCCAGCAGCCCAAGTGAACATTCACACCCATTCGGGCACACAGTCTCATACTTCAGACTGGGAACTGCCTCAAAAAAAACAAACCATGAAACACCAACTGAATTGGAAAAAAAAAAGTTTCAAGGCAGTGTTTCTTCACTTAGTGTGTGACATGGGAGATTTTTTTTCCCCAATAAAAGTAGCATTGATTACGAAAAGACTTAACATGCACCTTGGTGTTTTTCAGAGATTTCTAAGTGTTTCTGTTCTAAGGAATTGCAAAAAGTATATATACGCTTCATAAAATGTAAGATGGTCAATTACTACTGTGTAATATTAATGACACTGTATCATTGATAATGCTTCTCAAACACCAGGTTCACAAGCTATGCAAAAAAGAAATTAAATGAAAAGAAATTAAAGCAACTAAACCTCAAAAAAATAATGATAGTTACAGAAGTGTTTTTAAAGAAAGTTTGAGACTGAAATGTTCTGTGCTGGGTTTTTATCTTCTGTGTATTAAACAGCTGCCACCGGCACACACGCTTTTGAGCTGCCTTTGAAAGAGCGTTTGGGTTTCTGTGGTTTTGTCTTGTCTTTAAAGAGTTTAACTTTTTCCTCCTGCATACAGTGAAGGGCCATTCTGCACATCTTTCTCAAGAGGCACCATAAAAAACAAATTGTCACCTAAGTAAATATTTATCACCTTAATTTCTAGTTTCAACTCATCTGTCCCAGTGTTTCAAAAGTTCAAGCTAAGGATTTACAGACTCACAAAACCAAAAGACTTGTTCTTTTACTTGGCATCTCCTGATTAATCTCTGACTCAAAAAAACATGACTTACCCTCCTGTAATAATTGGGATGATCGGTCTCTGCCTCTCTAAAACTACTAGCAGCAAGCCCAGGTGGCTGTTTTATCAAGAGTTGGACAAGGAAAGCTACAATGCTTTCAAGAACAAAGGCAAACAAGACCATCATTTATACTCAGTTTGTGTCAGATTTATTCATGCCAAATAGACTCTATCTGTAATAGCACCTTATCACATGGTATGTACTTTGCCTACTAATCCTTACTGTAAACTACATGCAAACCCAAAATTTCAATTTAAAATAACAAACAGAAACAAAATCAAATAGCATTCCTGTAACAAATCCTGAATCCTGTAGGGATTCTGGGTTCTCTCCTAAGCTCTCCCAAAATAATATCAGCTAAGTCAGTAGCACAACTTCAAATCAATAAAAAAAACCAGAATAAAACAAAAACCCAACAACCAAAAACCACAAAAACCCAAAACAAAACTAAAAAAAACCCAGACCAGAAAACACTCCAACACAAACAAGTAACCAACCAACCAAAAAACCCCACAAAAACCAACACCAAACAAGCCTTTCTATTCCAGACTAAGCTGAAGAGCTCAGTAAATTAGTGGGTCTTTGCATAACGTTTATTGCAGGATTCTAGTCTAGGATATTAAAGATGTTGCGACAACACAAGCATCTTTATTGTTCTTTTTAACTGTTGGTTTTGATTGTTTTGTAGTTTGTTTGGGTTTCTTTTACACAGATAAAAACCAGTCTGTACAAAAGGAAAAAATAGTATCTCTCACACTGTCAGACTTACCCATGTAAAATATTCTCTTATTAACAACAGGAACTTTACAGATTGTGTGGGACAGGGTAGTGAGCCTCTTAAAGAAGGTTATATTCAATACTGATGAATATTCAAAACACATTGATTCAATACAATCTTGTTTACAGATTTTATATTAATGGGAAAAGGCCTTTAGAACCTCTAGAACTTCAGCTGGATTTGCTTTATACTGACTGTTTCCAGCTATTGTGAACTCTTTCTGTTCTTGGGGATTTATACAAACTGAGCCACTTGCACTTCAAGTCATCTCTGGTTTATACTTCATTTATTTATTTTAAACTCTTAACACACTGAAATCAGTCCTCAGTAAGCTGGTAATATGACTGTGCTGATACCAGCGAGGGCTTCACTATTCAATGTCAATAAAAGACATGTTTCAAAGATCAGGGCAGTAATTCAGGATTATAAGAAAGTAGTTCTGAAACCAGAAGAATTAGTTAAATGCAAAATAGGCCGTTAAAAAATTTTGATGTTAGCTTTTGACGTGTTTCCTCTTATATTCCCTATGATCTTTTTGTATGTTAGAACTACATATGTAGCCTATCTACTTGAGATATTTCAGTACTGCTGCATGTGTATACTATTGGCCCTACTTAGGTGGCATGAAGAAAACGGCAACAGAGGGCCAGATTTTGGCCCTGAAGTCTGCTGCTTTTTGTTTCTCTGTGAGTGGAAAAAACAACATAATTATGCTTTAAGGTAGGAATTAATTACCTCTCTTGCAAGAGGCGCCCTGAATCACACTGAAGGCTAATGCATACATCCCTACTTTCAGACACAGAGGCCTGCCAAATATTATGTGCTGGAAGGTAAAAAATGCCTGGGAATTCGAGAAATAGGTAATAGGTATGCTCCCCCTATAGTCTTAAAAGAGTACTCAACACAGCACAGCCAAAGTCAAACAATTAATGAATCCACAACATAAATCCAAAAAGAAGTTACAGAACTTGAATTTCAAAAAATATGCAGACTTGGAAGAAAGCTGAGAATTCATTCAGAACAGGTTCAGGAAAGGCAGTATGAGAAGGCTAGAGCTGATCTAGAATCAAAATGGAATCAGGCACTAAATAACACATAACTGCTTTTGCACTTGAGAAGCTTGTATCATCAGTGGGCTTTGTACATAAAAAGTCAATGTCTAGGGGGCCCGATTCAGGAACACTTGCTAAGTACAAACAGCTGAATCTCCTCAGCTCCACTGCAACCAAAACACATGTTCAACTGCACTGTTGAAAAAAAGAAGCGAACATCTTGACCTGCTTCAATTTTTTAAAGCCCTTAATCTCTCCTGTCATTTTCAAGTCTCAAATCTCTATCAGTGTGGAAGAATGGGAAGACACTAAAGACACCAAAGAACAGATTAGTTATCGTAATAACCATCGTAACTCAACATCTAGTGATCAGTCTGATCACCCCTTGTTACGACGAAAAAGCATGCAGTGGGCCCGGCGACTGAGCAGAAGAGTACCAAGACACTCTGGTAAAACAGCTGAGAAGATAAACCAGCAGCGAATGAACCTTTACAGGAGATCGGAAAGACAGGAGCTTGCTGAACTAGTGAAAAACAGAATGAAGCATCTGGGCCTCTCTCCAGCAGGATATGGTACAGTTCTGTAATACTTTAAATGAATAAAGAAAAATAAAAAAATCAGTATTATGCAAGATGAACTGATTTTTAAGAACTGAGGATGCCATAAACAAAATTATAAAAGTTTATGATAAGGATTTTATTGGTGTAGCTTTGGTTGGGGGGAATTTTTTGCGTGTTTTGGGGGATTTTTTTGTTTGCTTTGTTTTTTTCCCTGAAAGAAACTTGGAGCGTTTTAAATCAGTTCTATTTTCAGACTGAAAACTCAGAAAATTTTGCTTTTAAATATAATTAATTTGGTATTTTTTTTTCCCTCTAGATGAAATGAATGATCATGAGAATACCCTTTCTTACATCCTCATCAATCCTTCTCCAGATACGAGATTAGAGCTGAATGATATAGTGTAAGTTAAAGCACAACAGAAGTCACAAGACCTGCAGAATTTCTCATTTGCACTTCCTGTCTGAATTGATTTCATTCTGTTTCTGCTGGAAAAGAACCCCAAACTTTCCTATGCACCTGCAAAACAATAAAAATTAATACTTGTCTATTTAAATAGACATGTGACTATACACACATATGTGTATATTTAAAATATGTAAATATTTAATACATTAGAAATGCTCTTACCTACATATTCTCTCATCATCTCTGGGTATTTGAAAGACAATCAAATCTGACAGTCAACATTTTGACTCAGAAGAGCATGACGTTGTCCGTATCAGAGTTTAGTACTTGCAAATGGTTCTTGCAGTAACACTCCTTGTTCTCTTTCATTCCTGAATTAGTACAATACATTCTGTTGATAGTAGTAGCACTCTTCTTAGTTAAAAACAAACAAGAAAATCCACCACAAAACAAAACAAAACCAAAAGCAAACACAACAAAAATCAAAAACCACACAAGCTCTTTGTTCCTTTGACATGTTTTTGTTCGGGGTTTTTTTTTTCCTGGAGATTAACATTCTTACTTGCTTTGGGGTTGGTGTGGTTGATGCCTTATAAAAACATCAAATTCAGAGTTGCAATTTCAGTTCCAAGAGTTACAATTAGGAGTTCCAAATTTCAGCAATCTGGAGTAACACGCAAAGATCACATACAGGAATTCCTTATGCAGTACTGCCCTAGTCATGCTTGAGGGAAGATGATGACCACTGAGATTCAGGAGCTGTGACATCAGGCCTATTATAAACCCTCAACACACTAGCAGTTGTTTATCGCACATTCAAGCTACTTACAACTTTATCAATCAAGCAAGATAAGCATATGTTTAAACTTGCTTCGTTCGGATTTAATGAATAGAATAGAGCTCATCACTGCTCATCAGTTTCATTGGCTGGATCAGTAAAAAAAATATAGATTGTTCTGGAGTAAACATAAACATCAGATGTTCTAAATAGAGGGTAATAAGTGAGGCTTTAAACAAACAGATACCATGAGAACGTGATCTAGACAGGAACAGTATAAGCTGAATAAGGTTTTTTAGTCCCCTACTTACATCCACAGCTTTCTTGCACAGATAAGTTCAGGCTATGTGTAGCAACAAACTGTAAGATACAGAAAACACTGCTATGCTGTTTTGGCCCTGACAGAAGGAAGAACATCAATAAAGTAACAGCAGCAGGTGGTGTTTCCAAATCCTGGAGATCAGGCAATTACTCTTGAGTATCCACCACAAAGGCAGTGTGCCTCAGACTCAGAAGCCCACGTTTTGAGAAGCCAGAACAGTCTGTTACTAGGTGAGCTGCAAACATACAGCAGTTCTGGGGGAAGTATGGCAGTGATTGCTCATACACTTACAGAAAATGTTAGTTCAGTTAATCAGGATTTTCTATTTCACATTTTATTGAAGAATTTTACAGGGTTTTTTAATTAAGTCTGGGACAAAACACACATTATACCATATAACGGTAGAAGTTCATGGCCTGTAAAACCAGAAACTTTCTTCAAAGCCACTGCAGAGTCACACAGCAAATCTTTAGAAGTACCACACTGCATGCACACAATCTCTATTTGGATATTCAAGCATTTTCATTTGCCTGATGAGGAGATGGACAGAAACATGGCATGAAGATATGAAAGAAAGGATTCTTTTATAGTTAGTTTTCCTGCATTTAATTTTTGGGAGGGGTGGGGTGGATAGGGACAAAGTCAAAACTGTGATTTAAAATAAAATTTGCAGTGGCTTCAACAGTACTGATCATCTTGGGAAAAGTTACAAGATACACAAGGATTAATAAAATGCTGGGATTAATCCACAAAGCTACTACAATGCCAGCACCAAAAGCCGTCTCAGATCAGATAGTTTATCACTTTAGATAGCTGACAATACAGTGCAAAATTTACACTTTTAAATTAATGGGAAGCTCTTCAATCCCTAATCTAAGAAAAGTAGTTATTTTAAACATCTCAAACTCAGATTCAAATTCATGAGTCATTTTCCTCAAGTATTCAGATCTACTAGAATTTCTTATTCTAAAGACTCCATCTCCAGACTGTCAACTTATACCAAGATTATCAACATCAGGCTTTTTATTTGTTGGGCACAGTGACAAGAATTATCAGTTGTTTTCTCAAAATTATTTGAGAAATAACTCAGTGGACTGTTTGTCCCTTCTTGAAGGAGAAGGGAGTAAAGGAAATGCATAAAGAAGTACAGAGTTACTAGCAAAGGAGCTGTCAGTCAAGATTAAGGTTTAGCTGTGCCTAGTACATAGAGATGATGTCTAGGCAAACAAAATGTGAAAAGCTCTATTATTAGCATCTAAAGCGGGTGGTGTTACCCAAGTGTCCAAGTTACCTAACAGGAACTAAACTAAGCACCTTCAAAATAAGTCTTTATGTCTTCCTCAGATCTTTTCAACATTACAACTGTATGCATTTATTTTATTCTTGCTCACACTAATTCTTTTTAATAAAAATTGTAATTTCTTTCTATAGATACCTGATCCGACCTGATCCATTGGCTTATGTTCCAAATACTGCAGCCAGCCGAAAAGGCAGCTTCTGCAACACTGTGGGACAAGACGCCAGGGAGGAGACACAACTTTGATATGTAACTCATCATAAAATTAAGAGATAATTTTATACATGTGCTGTTTCCACTGATACATTTTATTCAGATTGTGGAAACAAAATAACAGTGTTTAAGTGACCAAATTTAGAAATGTGTGGTCTAGAAACTGATTTAAGGCTTGTGGCCTATTCAATATGGTAGTTGAACTTCGTCAGCTTAACAGAATTATGACACCTATCACTATTTAACCAATATGAACAAATTATTTGAAAAGTGACAGATTCCACCATGTGTTTTGCTTAGATGCTTCTAAGCATATTTATCAAGGTGACAGCATGTCAGTGACTAAGCTTCTGACCTACATCAGTAAAGATTATCTGATGTCCATCGACCACGCATAGTTTGTAGCAGAAAGTATGTTAATGCCTAAAGCTGCCAACAAGGCTTCGCGTGTCAAGAATCTAGACTTTGAAATCAAATTTTCAGACTCAGCCTGTCACCCACTTACATCAGAACAGGCTAGCTTCAGTCCCATTTTAATCTCCAGGACTTCAGTGTTAGTCCTCTGGGTTTACACAGATCAGGTTGAATAACACAGCCTAGTAATTCACTAGAGGTTAAGATCTGAGGCATAACCACTGAAAGATTAGCTCAGAGGAGCCCACCTGGAGAAAGGTCCCCGTCATCTCACACAGGCAGCCCCCCCATTTGTAACAACTGGGAAGGAACTATCTGTGTGAAGAGGCAAACAATGGTAACAGTGGTAATTCAGGTGAAATAGAATCCTTTTAACCTTAGCGAGTTTATCAATAGAAACCCAAACAGATTATAATACAAAAGTGAGAGCATCCCTCTAAGGAATGGTTCGTGCCGCAAGTCCTTCCCGTTTCCATGAATATGCCAGAACTGCAACTGTCCAAAGTATGTACATGCCCAGTTATTCAGATTACCCAAGCGTGATACCTAATTTTATATGAAATATTTATCACACTGAAAATCAAAGAAATTTATAACCCATTCCATAAAACGAATGCAATACCATGTTATGTGAAAAGGCATCGTGGATTCAAAGACTCCGTATTTTGGCATTAAGGACACAAGAAAGCATCTGCTACTGTATGGAACGTATGGAGCTGCTACAGAATCTCCAGTCTACATATACAAGAATGACAGAATTGGTCAAGCTTTCTACAGAATTAAGACTGTACGTGGTTGTCCAAAATCACATTCTTTGCTGCCTGTCACAAAGGGAGGAAGAGCATGCTTAAGGTAAAAACCCTACTGTTAGGATTACAGAACTGGTACAGGAAATTTGGCAGGTACAACAGAAAAATAATTATTTGAATTACCTTGATGTCCTACATGTACAAAAATTCAGTAAAAATTGTTTATAACCTCTTTTATATTATTCGGTAGAACAACTACAATCTGTTTCTGAAAAATAAAATACCAAGTTCCCCAGTGAACAACTCCTGGATGTGCATACACTTATCAGCATTGTAAGGATGTTGAAATCAAGTCACATTCATATGAGGAGTGATAGCTAATCTGCTATTATTCCCTCCCTTCCTCTTAATTCTTCAAAAACTTAACTAATCTGTCCCATATTAAGTCAGAAATCCTAAGGCCACTACCATAAAAATAAAACCAAACACAGAGGTCTGAGAGGGCTAAAGCCATGAGATCAAGCATACCAGTTTTAGAAGAATAACTGGGAAAGTAGGGTTTCTCAGCCATTTTTTTATATTGATACATTAAAGCAGCATCATGATTCAAAAGGGTTTCAGTGATTCTGCACAAAGTGCATCTTTTTTCAGTGTTTTTACACACACACTACTCATTTATCAGATTATTCACAGGTAAAGACAAAGTATTTCAAATGTTCCCTCTGGGCACTGGTTGAAAAACTAACAACTGAAGCAGTTGCACAGACTGAAGTCTACAGTTTTTAAAAAAACAGTATATGGTACAGGATCTTGTCCAATACTTGTCACAGGAGTTTGCCAAGAGAAGTCTGCATGTTCAGTGTGAATAACTTTCTATTTTTAATGCCTTCAGCGATAAGACTGCATTCCAGTTGAATGTTTTCAAAATGATTCAAATATCTTAAAAAAGATTACTGCAGATATTAGGAGGATCATTTGTTCCATACTGAAGATCTTTCTAACAGAGTCCCCAGTAGGCAGACAGGATTCCAAAACATGTCTACCCGGCAGCTGGCAGGCAAGTTAGGGACTCCGTTTCAGTGTGATTCACACACAGGCCTTCTCTGTGCACTGCCTGTCATTCCCACCACAGGTTTAAAGGATCTCTGCCACAAGGATAGATAGCTAGGACTTGATGCCCTGTATTTACCAGCCTATAAAGCAGTAGAAACAAGCAGTCAGTTCCCACCCAACTCAGCAGAATTGCTAGAGTTGAATAATAGCATCTAATGTGACCTGCTAATTTCTCCAGGCTTAATGAATTTCTAATTGCTCATAAGCCCCAGAAGATTTGCTAAAGCAAACACAAAGACAGCTGAAGACACTTGCAGTCTCTAAAAAAACTGAAGGGCAATCTTTCTGAACAAAATACGTGGTTCTGCAAAATCTGGTGGAAGACAAGGTAATAAAAACTAACAAGAGCTTCTTATGAAGCAGAAGTTCAAATAATCCACGAATAATATACCATAAAATTCTGTTGCTCAAAATATACTGCCTTTCATATTGAAAGCAGAACAGCTTTGCTTCCTCTGGAGTATCTTCACAGACAGACCCCATTCTAGTGGGATTTAGACCTTTCAAGAACCATATGAAGAATCTTTACATCAACACTAAACGAGGCAGAACACACATTTTCTCCTGACTCATTTCTACCAATAATTCAAAGGTGCCCATCTTCCCCAACACTACCTTAACACATACCAAGCAACTCGGTACCAAATTCACAATCCCAGTGAAGAAAGTGGTAGCAGATAATAATTACTTCATTTTCACAAGAGAATTCTCCAGCAAAGCGAGATCTACCTATGAAAAATTGTTACCTAGTCTGCAATAAAAAGTCAAAAAGTGATTCAGTGGAATGCAGTGTGTTTCCTTAACTTTCACTCCAGTTCCAGAACAGGCAGTAATTCACATAAGAAGTAAAGAAAAACCCCACAGTTTGAGTTTTTAAAACCTGCAGTAGGAGTTAGTGAAGTTTTCACGACATTTCAGCTTAGAAATTAAAAGAGGTTATTTCCCAGCATATATACTTCCCCTCCCACAAACAACTTGCTACTACAACTACTCTTTAACAACTTTAAAGTATACAAATATATACTTATATATTATTGAATATTTCTTATAGATCTTTGTTTACCAGTGCACCAATAAAATGGTGCAATAAAATGGAACCAGCAGATCTCGGGCTTCAGAAGTGGAGGAAAACTGAAATGACATCAAGTGCACCAGAAGTAACACACAATTCTGTAGATTCTAGGCAGCTGGGGCTGACAGCAAACATTCTCTAATTCTGGAGCACTGATGCATGAGGTTTTGCTGCACTGAATTACACTTGATATCTGAGGGAAATCAGTCACTGCAACTTGGAAATGGATTAATAAGAACAAGCAGCACTGTGTAGTGACAGCAAGTTGTGCAAGGTTATAAATTCTTCATCTGTGTCACTACCTTGAAAAAGTATTTTTTATAAAATAAAGCAACCTGCATCAAATATTGTTGCATATTTTGATATTATTAGAAAAAGCTCACCCCACTTTGAAACAGATATACATTGAATAAATGGCCCAAAATGCTGCACTACTAATTTTCAGCCATTGTCCCTTGTGCTTGTTGCAGAGAGACAGGAAAAGTTACTAATTTATATTAAGTTATGAGAGATTACCAAGACTTTGCTTATCTTCTGAAATTAATCCAAAGTATTAATGATGATTCTTATACACTTCATTATTGCCTATACTATTAATGCAAGAATGCTGTCAGTAATGGTAATTCAACACAAGCATAAACTCCCACAGCCTCTCAAGAAGTTTAAAAAGGCAAATGTTTCTGATTCATAAAGTTAAAATCTAGCATTTGAAGTTTCTAGAGTTTTATTTCTTCTACAAAATCTAGACTGCATACCATTACAAAGATTTGCAAATGGCCCATGCCAACCAAGGAGAGAGGCTGGGATGTAAATACTTACTTACGTTCATGAGGTGTCGCAGGCAAATTGGGGAGTGTGTAAAACCCCAGATGTGGTTTTACACAGGACTTTTATACCTTTAAAGCATTCCAGTACAATTTGATTTAACTAATCACTTACACCCACACTACCAATTACTAATCATAGAATCATAGAATAGTTAGGGTTGGAAAGGACCTTAAGATCACCTAGTTCCAACCCCCCTGCCATGAGCAGGGACACCTCACACTAAACTATGTTACCCAAGGCTCTGTCCAGCCTGGCCTTGAACACCTCCAGGGCTGGAGCATTCACAACTTCCTTGGGCAACCCATTCCAGTGCCTCACCATCCTCACTGTGAAGAACTTCTTCCTTAGATCTAACCTGAAGTTCCCCTGTTTAAGTTTAAAGCCATTACCCCTTGTCCTACCACTAGAGTCCCTAATGAAGAGTCCCTCCCCAGCACCCTTGTAGGCCCCCTTCAGATACTGGAAGGCTGCTTTGAGATCTCCACGCAGCCTTCTCTTCTCCAGGCTGAACAGCCCCAACTTTCTCAGCCTGTCTTCATACGGGAGGTGCTCCAGCCCTCTTAATCATCCTCGTGGCCTCCTCTGGACTTGCTCCAACAGCTCCATGTCCTTTTTATGTTGAGGACACCAGAACCGGACTCAATACTCCAAGTGAGGTCTCACGAGAGCAGAGTAGAGGGGCAGGATCACCTCCTTTGACCTGCTGGTCATGCTTCTTTTGATGCAGCCCAGGATACGGTTGGCTTTCTGGGCTGCAAGTGCACACTGCCTTTCACCAGTACGGGCTGGCTGACGAATGACAGAAAACTGGTTTCTTTGGCATAGCTTTTGTATAGCTTTTAACAATACAGTATTTG